TGCACCATGTGCATCCCGCTGGGTTTGAAACACCAGTGGCTCCACCTCAAAACTCACATCAGCACGTCACCACAGTAGGACAAACCGACAGACAAATTTGCCTCCCTGTTGGAAACCTCTCGTACCACCCTTACCTGGGTCCCTGTGGCTGACTCCTCCTCTGTCCAGATTCCTAGGCCTTTTGGTCCCCTTTCTCCCGCTCTCCTGCCCTGCTGCTTTGGGCATGCCTGAGTTCCCTCTCCTCATCTGGATCCCTGCAGCTGACTGCTTCTTTGTCTGAGTTCCTGGCTTTTAATCCCCTTTTTCCTGCTCTCCTGCACTGCTGCTTTGGGCGTGCCTGAGTTCCTCTCCTGGATCCCTGCGGCTGACTGCTCCTCTGTGTAACAGGTGAGGCCTTACAAATCATTACCAGTCAGATTTTGTGTTATTGAACATCAATGCAATGAACCCAGAGAAAGTAAGCTTCCTAAATGAAGAAAAAAGGAAGATAAAAAGAAAGATAGAAAAGACACTGATGAATTCTGAGAATGTGGAGCTCAGTAGGTATCCTTAGTGTGTCCTGAAGTTGATTCCAACTCAATGTGGCAGAGAAGAATGCACCTTAGGGTTACCCAGGCTATAACCGTTATGGCAGAGATCTGGGTACAAGTTGTTAAAGCATTTGGGTTTCTCCCACCAACTATTCCATGGGAGAAACATAAGGCAATCTGTTTCTGTAAAGATGTACAGTCTTGGTAACCTTGTGAGGCAGTTTACTCAGTCCTATGGGTGGCTATGAGTTGAAATCAACTTGACAGCAGTGGATTACATTTTTTTCTTTTTTTTGGAATCTTTATAAAAGCAGATTGCCATATCTTTATCCCTCAGAGCTGCTGAGTGGGTTTGAACTGACAATATTTCATTAGTAGGCAAGCACTTAACCATTGTACCACCAGGGCTCCCTAACATAACAAAAACTGTGAGAGCCAGAACTTGATGGAACTGTCTTGTTTTACCAGGTCTGACAAGTTTTCTTCCTTTAACCAAGTTCAGTTTTACCACTTTTTAAATTTCTGTTAGTGGAAAAATGAGCTCTGGTGGTATAGTGGTTAAGGCATTTGACTACTAACCAAATGGTTAGCAGTTTGAACCCACCAGCCCCTCTGCAGAAGAAAGACAGGGCAGTCGGTTTCCAGAAAGATTTATGACCTTGGAAAACCAGTGGGGTAGCTACCAGTTGGAATCAACTCAACGGCACTGAGGTTATTTATTTATTTAACTATTTATTTACTTTTTGGTGTTAGTGGAAAATATTTGTGTTTTTCTTTTCTGACAGGTTTCCACCTTACATAGGTTCTGGATTTTGCTTTATTATACTGTATGTCTTAAATAAACCATATAAGTTACTAAACCAAATCAGTTGTCCTTGAGTCAGTTTTGACCCATGGCTACCCCATGTGCGCTGGAGTAGAACTGTGCTCCATAGGGTTTTCAATAGCTGATTTTTCAGAAGTAGATCACCAAGCTTTCAGTTAGCAGCCAAGCTTGTTAGCCATTTGTACCACCCAGGGGCTCCAAGCCCAACATACATCTTTTTAACTAAAAAGTCATGAACACAGTGTATCTTTCCTTAGACATGTTATCCTCTGTCATTCATTCCTTAACCAAATATTGTTGAATATATGGAAGTGGGGGGCAGGCACCATAGCAAGAGCTTGGGTGTAAAGATTAATAAACTGTGGTTCCTGCTATCTGGGCTCAGACTAATCATTCAACTAGTGGAACAAAAACTATAATGAAGAAGACTGTGAAAGAAATAATAAGAAATTACTATCTCAGCTAGGCAGAGCTTAATGAAGGGTCAGGTAAAGTAGCAAACCTCTGTATTTTGGCAGTTTTTGTCCTGTCCTACTTTTCTTAGGAAAAGTTTGTTGTTGTTATGTGCCGTCATGTCGGACCTGACTCACAGCGACTCCTCCTTGGGTTTCCGAGGAAGTATCACTACAGAAGTAGATTACCCCATCTTCCTTCTGAGGAGTGGCTGGTAGGTTTGAACTGCCAGCCTTCTGGTTAGCAGTCAAGAGCCTTAGGCACTGCAATACTGTTTCTTCTGTCATGTACTACTACTGTTCTGTTTGTTCCTCCTGCCACTCCTTTCACTTTTTTTTTTTTTTTTTTTCCTCCTGCAGCAAAAGAAAAAGGAAGTCAAAGGAGTTAGTAGGTAGATTGTGGAGAGAGGAAGGAAGAAACCAGTCAGGTATCTTGTTATATTTGGTCCACTTTTCTTGACTGGGCTTAGGGAAAAGGAAGGGATAGATTCTGATAAAGTGAGGCTTTAGCTATAGATTCATGTGTGACCTGTGTGAGCTGAAAGGAACCAAGAGGCCATCTTCCATACTCTCCATTTGATATCTTGGAAAACTGAAATTTAACAATTTACCCAAGACCATATAGCCAACTAGTAACATATGTGGGACCGGAACTTAAGCCTCTTGACTCCCAGGAGAGTTAGAATAGACTAATGAAGCTCTTCAACTGCAGCTGGTGGTGGTGGTGATGGTGGAACCAGAGAAGGAAACCCCACTACTGCTTTTAGCAGCCTCTTAGGCTTGTCTTCTTCACAATCAACCAAATCTTCTTTTCTGGTCCTCCAAAGGAATGGTGACCAATTGAATAAGTCACCACATAGTCCTCTGTTCCTTAGGGAAAACCACACCAAGTCCTCCATTCAAAAGACTTATTTCTCATGTTTTGTTATTTTTGTTATCCTCCCCATAAGGCTGACCAATTTCTCTACATCCTTTTGAAAATGTGGTGCCTAAACCTAAATCCTGAACTTTAAAGATAATCTGTTTGGTGATGTGAATATCCTGATACAGTGTCTTCAATGTATCCAACTTCAAATTTTGTTTTTGCTTGTTTGTTTTTAAATTTTCAGGGCATGTTACTAATTCTCATAGTATCAGTAATGGCCTTGAGGAATTTGTATTGCTGATGTATTTATACAAAGGTTCCTTCCTGAATATTGTGCTGTTTGTGTGAAGCCTTGCCTGCTTTTTTCCCTTCATTTGTCAGCTTGTCAGTAATGGTTAGGTGAACCATTGTCAAGAAAACTAATCACTCTTTAACAGGATTTGGAACGGAATTAATGCAGATCTTGTGGCTTCCTGTCACAGCTTTAATAGCCCAAGGTCCACGCCTTCTCAGAGACTAGCTGGTTAGCAATTGTATCCTAGGGCATCACAGGCTCTCTTCCGAGGCTACTCAGTACATTGTGTAAGATTCAGTATTCGAGCTTCTTGAAGGCAGAGCTTCGGTTTGTGATTGCAACTGTGGCTAACCCATCCCGGGACGCCCAGGGAGGCAAATATATCTCCTATTTTCAAGGTGATGACACAACGCAGGAATGCTGTGAAGCCAACGAGTACTTCTTGCCAGACAAGTTTCTGCTTCTGGACGCCTCTGAACCTTTGACATGCCGCATTGTGTCAAGCTGATGTGGCCGTAGAGTCATTCGAAGGAGTAGCTCTGAGTACTGTCAATATTGTCCAGGCGACTCGAGTAGTTCTTTCAGCCCTCATAGCTCTCTAGGACGGGTCTCCAAGTTATCACTCTTCACTTTCAAACGCCGCGCATCTCCCTCTTCCACCTCCCTACTCCTCCGCTCCTTTCAGACAGCGCCCCTCCCACCTTGTCTCAATGCTCCCACCTGTCTACGCGCAAGAAGGGGGCGGGGCCGTGGGGACCTGGCCTCCTGACGTCACCCCTCCGGGAGGGGGCGGTCTGTGGGAACCGCAGTGCAGCGCAGAGGGGCGGGGCGGGGCGGGGCCTCGGGCGCGTGACCTGGCTGCGGGAGGCTGGAACCGGAGAAAGGTGTAGGGGTGCGGGGACCTGCTGACTCCAGAGTCTGGCTCCGGGAGGCGGGGCGGGGAGTGGCTGGGCAAAGGAGACCAGCGCCCTGCGAATTGCAAAGCGGGTCACGCTTCTCCCTTCGCTTCCCGCCCCTTCTTTTCCTCCCACCTGGGCCTCTGCGTGGAGACGTGCACCTGGCAACCGGCAGCCACGCTCCGCCGCGTCCCCGCCTCTCCTCTCGGGCTGGGTGCCCCGAGCCTACTGGGCACCCCGAGGCGGCCCCTGACGCCGGCTCCTCGCCCTCAGCCGGCGCAGCGATCGCTGGAGGCGGCCACGAGCGCTCGCTCGTTGATGCCGTTTTGGGGGTGACTCGGCGCGGCGGCGGCAGCGGTGGCTCCTGCTCTATGGTTGAGGGGGTGCTAGTGGCCGCGGCCGTGCCACACCTGGAGTGAGCGCCTGTGGGGTGGCAAGGCGGGGGGCCAGCGTACCCCGCACGCAGCTCGGGTTTCGGGGCGCTGGAGGAGGCGGCCAAGGCCACGCGGGAGCGGGAGATGTTGGAGCTGAGGCACCGGGGAGGCTGCTCCGGCCCTGGAGGAGCGGTAGCGCCGCCGCCCCGCGAGGGAGAGGCGGCTGGCGGCGACCACGAAACCGAGAGTACTAGCGACAAAGTAAGTAGAGCCGCGAGAGGCGCACACTTGCGTCTGGCTGGGTCCTGCTTTGGTCAGGGACACCTGGGAGCAAGAATGGGGCCCACGGAATGTCAGGTGAAGTTGCAAGCTGCCGGCTGCGCCTTCCTTCCTCCCGGCCTGGCTGCATTTACTCCTTTACCTAAGTAGGGTCGAGAAACCAGCCCCCGGTGATGGTGCGCTACCCAGGATGACGGTGACAACTGCTCGGGATAGCTGTCTGATTCAACTTTGCTAAAATTGATCGTCTCTCCAATCCAAGTCCCCACCTCTCTGGGGCTGACACTAGAACTGGGATGGAACTTGCCAGTTTAGGAGCTGCGGGTTTCTAGTTGCTACCACCTCACACCTCTTCTCAGAGGGAACAAGTTCGTGAGGACTAAATTTACCAAAAGCACCTTCAGTTCTAACATGTCATTGGATCCTGCCTTTGGAGGCTTGGCTTCTTGTGCTACCCCATCAGCACTTTCGTTTCCTCTGTCCTTTTTCAGTGTAATGTGTTTTGGAGGTTTGAGAGTATCATACACGTGACATAATGTAATCTTCCAGCGTCTTTTGAGTCCGCGAAAAGACAGTGCAGTTCTTCTGTCTACCAGTAGATTTTCTTTAACTAGGCATGTTAATTCATGAGGATTTTTCATTCTCTTGTTCCTTTTTTTTTTTTTTTTTTTACTAATTGCATTTCCTTCACATTTAAGAATAAGTAGCTATAACATCACTATTCTATTTTAAACCAGAGAAATGCCAGATTTAGGCTTTTTAGATAATTAGTAGTATAAGTGGGAACTTTTGAAAAACATAGTTTATGGCCTTATGGGCTTGTTGGTTTAGGAAACTGGCCAAGAGAATAGTTATATATAGATACATACATATATACATATATACATATATATATATATATATATATATAATTTTTAAAATATAAAACTTTGTCTATAAAATTCCATTTTATTCGGGAAGTTCAAAGCTCTTAAACTATTCCTAGAAACATTCTTTTTTGGAAGCAGGTATTGCAGTATGAACTGCAGAAATGAAGTGGCTTCCCCAAGGTCAAGTCAGTGTCCTTTTCTAACTAAAACCTAAACTTCCTGATTGCTTTTCCAGTTTGTACTTTGCTGAGACTCATTGGCAGTTCTGATTGGGGAAGGGGCCCCCTGGAACCTGATGTTGATGAACTTGATATATTCGATGTTAAAAGCCCTACAAGGAGTGTATCACACAGTATACATGGAATAAAATGCTTAACAGTGATTTTTAGGACTGAAACTTTAGAATTGGTGGAATGACAGACCCCTTTTTTTTTTTCCTATCCTTGATAATAGGTAGACTAAAATGACAGTCTGTGACAGAACATATGTGTTAAGGAATTACACAAAATATAGTCAGTTTTCAGCTACTGAAGGTTGAAGTTACAAAGCTAGAAACAGTGGGCTGAAAATAGTCTTTGTGAAAATTGCCTTGGAAACTAGACCAAAAATAGAATTAATGAGGTTGGGTTTTGTTTTGTTCTAGAACTGGTATAGTTTGGAATCAAGGAAATACCATCTTTCCCATGTTGACTTTCTTAACTAGAAGAAGCTAACAAGCTTTTATTAAGAAAAACATGTTTTGTTCAGGAAACCATGCATAAAATACCATTTGGATTATTAAAAAAAAACACACACAAAACCCTAATGTATTTAACATGGAAACTACTTCTGTAGTTTAAGTTGACTCAGGGCTATTGTCTCTAGCTATCTGTGACTGGTTATTTCACTTCATATTTATTTATTAATTTATAAATACTGTACTGTTGGTTTTTATTAATAAATCCAGCTCGATTTTGTTTTCTGAGAGAAGGCTTCACCATATGTAGCCTGTTTTGTTAAGATTTCTTAGAATGATGAACATATTCAAGCTGTGTCTAAAATATTGCTGTACTTTTAGAGTTTTTCACAAGTAATTCCTGACTTGGCAAGCTTTGAGACATTGAACTCTATCCTTCTGTCTGTCCTTTCTTATCAGGGTGTGTATTTGAATTCACCTGTATTTCCAGGTCAAGGGCTATTTTAAAATCAGTTTGCATAGAGGAGGCTGGTTAATATTTGGTCCATTTAAACTATTTAAATGCCATCTCTGTTCAAGTTGGAGTAAAGGCAGAGCTCCTAGGGAATTAATTAAGGATGTGAATGAGGCGTATTATATCCTGCTATTATAGTATACTCTCATGCATTGCCATTTGTAATCTTTCAATCATTATATTATTAACATGACATTCCAGTCGTGCAGGAGCTGAAGACTTCTGCTGAGAAGAGGCGCTCTCTCTAGAGAATTAGCAAGTGACAAAAGTACTTCTTACCCTCTAAGCAATGTTCCTGGTTATTAAATGCTGGAGTGGTAGTTGAAAGATGACACAGAACTCTCCTCAAGGAATCCCAACCTCCACAGGAGATTTATTAGAACTCTGTGCAAGGCTCATTTTTATCACAGATGACATGGTTGGACTTTGAAGACAACAGGAAAAGCTTTTGAAAAGAAGGGTCAAGTGAGTGTTGAGTGTAGGATGAAAAGATGCATGAGGACTCATCAGATGGACAAGTGTTAGGGAAAGTCATTCCAGGCAGAGGGCTAGGCACAGGGAACTGAAATTAGTTTGGTATTGCTAGAGCATAAACTATATGTATTTGGGATGTAGGCTAGGGAGCTTGAGAGTCTTATGAAGGAAGTCAGGCTTTATTGCATGGACTCTGGAAGCCACTGGAAAGTTTTTGAAGAGACATTAGCTTATCACTGTCAGTGGTATGGAGAAAGTATCGGAAGGGGAAGAGATTTGCCACAAAGAAGGAAAATGGGAGGGTATTATAAATGGTATAGATAGGAAGTGATGAGGGTGTGTAGTAAGTCTAAAGAGTGGGGAGATGGGGGATGAAAGAGAGGTTATATATTTTAGATGATGACTGATGGTGAAGCATAGACTAGGGTGACTAAGTCTAATAAAAGAAGGGACTTCTGGGAGACACATTTTGACTGATAACTTAAAAGACATTTAGGAAAGAAGCAAAGATGATTGGGCAGTTTTCCAGGTTAGGAGGAATGAGCTGGTCATATCTTCACTTGGCCCTGCTGTCCTCATAGCTGCCATCCTATATTCCTCTCATTGCCACCTTTTGGCAATAACTACCATTATTTCACCTTCCACTTTCTTCAGTCTAAAACTTGTCTTCCACTAAAATCTTTTGCTAAAGATCTTTGGGTACTGTGGCATTTTCAGATTTAGGCAGGGTGTGTCAGGGAGGTTGAGAACGGGAGCATATGTGAGCGGTAGCTCAAGGTGCTGATGCCAGCTGAAGAGAAAGGTCAAATTTTGATTAGGATAGAGAGACTGATGACAGATAGCCTTGTTTAGAGCAGGATTGGAGATGCAGGGACAAAACTAGGATAATGAGGGACCTGGGAGCTAAAGAAGGATGAGTTGCTTAGAGTATATCATCAATAGGACTGAGAAATGAAGGCTGAGACAGAACATTGAGTTTAGCAAAAGATCTTAGTAGAAGACAAGTTTTAGACTGAGGAAAGTGGAAGGTGAAATACTGGTAGTTATTGTCAAAAAGTGGCAATGAGAGGGATACAGGATAGCAGCTATGAGGGCAGTCAGGTCAAGTGAGGATTTTCTCTTTCAAGGGTAGGGAGATATGTAATTGCTTGAAAGAAGTTGGAGAGGGTGAGAGTGAAGATACTGATGAGGATGGGCAACTTCCAGAAAAAAGAAGGAAGATATTGGATGGAGAATACAGATGATTGGAGTATCTAAGTGAAAAAGAGAAGGAATGGATGATGGATACAGAAATAGTTTGAAATACAAAAGAGGGAAGTTAAAAGTGTTTGACTGATGCCATCAATTTTCTGAGTAAAGTAGGAAATCATAGATTCATAGAGATTCAAGGTATCTTACAATTAGTTCAACCCAATCCATATATACATATATATACATACATATATATATATATATATATATATATATATATATAATAAATGTGCTCAAGAATATGGTTATTATTGCCCAAGATTATTTAGAGAGGATCACAGAGCTCGTCTCTGAACTCTAGTCACATTCTAGGACTAACGTGGCTAGAATACAAGTACCAAAACGCAAGTAGAATGCCAAATTTGGGCATATCTCAGTTTTCCAGTGCTGCTGTAACAGAAATACCACAAGTGAGTTGCTTTAATGAACAGAAACTTATGTCCCCACTGTTCAGGAGGCTAAAAGTCCAAATGTAAGGTACTAGCTCTATGGGAACTTTCTCTCTGTGTTTGTTCTGGAGGAAGATCTAGTTTCTGTAGCCCTGACTTCCTAGGTTCCTTCACAAGGCATCTGTCTCATCCCTACCCCACCAGACATTTTTGTTTTCTTGTATCTATGTCTTTTGTCTTTGCTGCTCTTTATAACTCAAAGGTTTAGAACACACTTTACACTGATATATCTTCATCAACATAACAAGGAAAACCCTATTCCCAAATGGGATTATATCCACAGGTATGGGGGTTATGATTCTTATTTTGGGAATATTTTTTGGGGGCCACCATGTAATCTATAACAGGGAGTGTGATAAGAAATGACTAAGAGACAACTAATAGAATTATCTAATTCAGTAAAGATTCAGTTGACATAAAATAACATAAATTTGTTCTATTCCAAATCAGCATGGAGTCGCTGGGTAGTACAAATAGTTAAGGGCTCTCACTACTAAGCAAAAGTTTGGGGGTTTGAACCCACCCAGAGGTGCCTGAGAAGACCGACCTGGCAGTCAGCTTCTGAAAGGTCATAGCCTTGAAACCCTATGGAGCAGTTCTAACTCTGCATACATGGGGTCACCATGAGTCAGAATAGACTCGAAGCAACTAATAACAGCAACCAAATTAGCATAGTTCTATAACTGAGTAGCAATAATAGTCATAATAGTTTAGCCTGTAGAGTGAATTTGAGTTCACAGAGTTCTTGT